TTGTTAAGCAAATAACATCGTTCGGAAAGTTCCCCTCTAGAAATAACATGACGATGTATTATCATCATGTGTTTGTTTCCTTGTCGACCACAAACAACGCATGCACATGTATCAATCCATATAAACGTTACACCTATACAGGAATACACCAAATCTTCTAGAATTGCACATGCATCCAAATTCCCGCGTCGTTCGTTGTTCGTTCGTTACTACGCGCGCACATTGTCTGCCCCGAAAACGACGATGATGGGGTTGTGAGAACCCATGAGAATATCAACGTACTGACGCTCGCGCAGCGTGCTGTGCGCACGAGCACCGACTTTAATTTCTATCATGCAGAGGTTTAATGTGTGGCATGCTGAATATTAATCAGTGCGCTCGTCGTCAGTGTTTGGGGGCGTGGAATTTTAAATTCCACTGAATGCATCAAAGTCTTGGTCACCGCCACGTGTGGCTCCGCGCAGAAGCTGCGCGCGGGAACGAGCGACCTTCCGCGGGTTGCAGCCATTGCCCAGAAGCACTCACACGACCTCGCAAGAAACAGGGTGTCTGAACAAAGTAAACTTTGAGCCCACACGACTACGGATATAACCAATGCGAAAGAAACTTGGAGAAGCAACTTCGAACACGCATGTTCGCAACGATGATAATGGACAACTGCCCGAAACACACTGCAATATTGTCGGGTGCGTTTCGCATACCCATCGGGTACTCTCGGGGTGCTCTCGGGGTGCTTGCGGGAGGTCTTCCAGTTATCGCTGCTTGGAGTTCCCCCAAACATCGCTACGTTGAAGGCATCCCTTGTTGGGTAGTAGGGATAGTAGTAGTAGTAGTAGTAGTAGTAGTAGTAGTAGTAGTAGTAGTTGCTGTAGTAGTAGTAGTAATAGTAGTAGTAGTAGTAGTAGTAGTAGTCGTAGTAGTAGTAGTCGTCGTCGTCGTCGTCGTAGACGTAGTCGTAGTCGTAGACGTAGTCGCAGTCGTCGTCGTCGTCGTAGTAGTAGTGGTAGTGTAGTAGCCGTAGTAGTAGTAGTAGTAGTAGTAGTAGTAGTAGTAGTAGTAGTAGTGGCTTCAGCAGCAGGGGGAGGATGCCAGGGGGGGGGGGGGGGGGAAGGGAGACAAATGGGCGCGCCTCCCAGAGAGGGCACAGCAGAATGCGAATGCTCTTTTTTCTGCCACGAGCCGTGGCGCTGCTCGTTTGCTCTCCGCTGTCCAAGAGCTCAGGCCTCCCACAGCGCCACCTCTGCCTCGAGGTAGCGGTTCCGCTCCTGGAGGCGCTGGCACTGCCTCTTGTTCTTGGTCACCTCCTAGAGGCAGGCCGTTTTCCACTGTCGCCATTGCTGACCAGGGGCAAGTGGTCAACGGTAGCGCTCTGCTGGGCGAGACGCGAGTCGCACCCAGCAGTCGCTACTGAGATCCGCCGCCCGTGGTCTGAAGTGGCACTGGTTAACAGTATGCCAATGGCCTCGCTGCGCACCCAGTTCTGGCGCAGGTCCTTCTTGGCCTTCGCCAGCGCCTTCTTCGCCGCGGCCGTCTTCGCGTCTGCTTCCTCGCGCCGGCGCTTCTCCTCGTGGGGAGACAGGCGCGTTTTGTTTGTTTTGTTTTTCGTGATGTGTTGCCGTGTGTGAATTGGTGTGACGAGCGAGGGTTCTTTATGTCGGTCCTGCAAGTAACCCAGCTCCAGCGGCTTGGTCTGTGCCCGAGCCGTTTTCGTCTCGCTCTTCCAAGTATTGGCCTCGTTCTTCGCTTCCTGGGCTTCCCAATGCGGAAAACATTGTAGAACACAGCGTTTTTATCTACGAATGCTGAAAAACGCTGTGTTTTACAATGCTTTCGGCATCGGGAAATGCAAAAACATTGTAAAACATAGTGTTTTGAAGCTCTGGGTGCTGGAAACTCTGTGTTTTCATATTTTTCTTTACCTCCGACACCAAAAACATCGAAAACACAATACTTTTCATACTTTTCATTGATTTTCATTTTTTTGTTTTTTTCTATCGCTGGTTTCTTCCCAAGAATCCTCCACAAAGGAAATCAATGTATAATCCGCCACAAACGGAATCAATTTGTAATCCGCGACAAAAGGAATCAATTTGTAATTCCCCACAAAAGGAATCCCTGTGTAATCCGCAACAAAGGGAATTGATTTGTAATCCTCCACAAAGGGAATCAATTTGTAATCCACCACAAAAGGAATCAATTTGTAATCCTCCACAAAAGAAATCAATTTGTAATCCGCCACAAAAGGAAACTCTCACCACCCAACGCCATCGCAAGAATAAGAACTTACAGATGTAAGCAAAGCGAAAGAAATAACACCGAAAAAACAAAAACAGCACATCGTTAAATAGAACCATATTTTGACCTTGCGGGGGGGGGGGCCCGGGGGCGCCAGCGCCGTCCAGAAGTCTACCAGATCGCAAACCGACCGCGCGAAGACGCGCAATGCGGCTCAGAAGGCCTCTCAAGAGGGCCCCGAGAAGCCAGTGCCACGGCGTCTTACAGACATCGGCGTTCTCGCCCCCCCCGCCCCCCGACGCCCCAAAGGGCCTCGAGACAACACAAAGAAACCCAAATTCCTCCCCAGAGGTCTCCGGGAGCGCTTCGACGAGACCCGAAGCAGCATCCCTTGCGACTCTGAACCTTCTCCGCCACCCTCCCTGCTCGCGACGAGCTACCGCCAGCATCGTTAAGCGCTCCACCCTCCAGACAACACCTTCGACAACATCCTTAGACGATCCTGTCATGGAAACACCTGCGCCGTCAACGTGGGCACCAACGAATGAACCGCGCGGTCGGGGCAAGCGTTGCGATCACTCCAATGAAACTGGTGGCCATCGATCAGTCAGCCACCGCCCCGGGAACCCAGTAGGGCCTTTCGATGATCCCTTGCAAACGAGAGATACCTGACCGAACGCGAGGCAACCAACAAGAACCCTGGTGACGCAAACGGGGAGGTTACACACTCCCCAGCGGTGCTCCAAATAATCGAGCGACGTCGAATTCTAGTATTTCGCCATGTCCCACATGAACGATGCCGAAACTTGGTTGGCCCGCGCGCCAGCCTCAGTCTCGACAACTTGTCGCAACACGTCATCCGCATCACCTCGGTGGGTGCCTGCCGCGCAAAATTCTTTTGGCCTGTCAAGTTCCGGCTGCAAGGCCCAGGCCCGTCTGGCCCGCCCCCACAAGCGGCGCCAAGGCACAACAACTCCGATGGGCCGAACACCCCCCAGAAAGTTTGCCAAACCTGCCAAACCTGCAGAGGAACCTGCCACCCCCCACAAGGCCCATCCCCGTCGACTCGATAAACAAGAGCAAGCCAAAAACCGCCTCGTGGGCAGCATCCTTCCAAAAACGAGAATGGCGGAGGTGGCATCCACCAAAAGAAATACCCCCCCGTGAAACATGTGTATAACAACACCTGCACGAAGACGGGGGCCAAAACAGTGAGGACGAAACTTTAAAGCCGAACCGAATAATATCCAATACTGCGGCCGGGTGATTGGACGACGGGGCATGGTGATGAATTCGTGGTGTACACATAGGCTCTTGAATCCACATGTTGTAACAACCGCCGCTAGCACGATCCATCGCACAAGCTACGCGTTTAAACCCCCAGCCGCAGCCAGAACACACAAGCAAACAAGGGTCTCAAACTCTGAAAACGGATGCCCCCGGACCTTTCTGACATGAAAATTTTGAATGCTCAGTACGGGCCAATTGTTCGGGGGTCGCCCCGCGGGAACTGGTGATTCACTGGAGGGGGGGGGTGTTCACCACACCGCGCGGTGATCAATTTTTGGCGGGGTAGAATTATTCACCCCCTTATTTTCGATGTTCTGCACCAGCCGTTCCCGAACTGCCCGCTCCTTGGTCAGGCCAAATCGACTCGGCTGACTTCTCGAATCCCTCGACATGCCGACCACGATTGCGCAGCCCCGAGCTGCAGACCCGCCTCCCCCCACACAGAAAAAAAGGCCTTAGAGGGCTTCCCCAACCCAAAGCCATTCACCATAGCCCTCCGTGTGAAAAGGGTCAACTTGTAACAACACCCTGGCATTAAATGATATCCGCCTCTCGTTCTTGCCATCGGGCGCGCATCGATGACGTGGGCATGGTGCGCACCCTTGCACGTTGCCAGCATTGAAATGAACATGCCACTTCATGTCAAGGCCACGATAAAAAAGGCGACGTTGGCTATGAATGATTGTGGGGATATGGTCTTTGATACGCCGAAGCCGCACGGAACATATTGTAGGAAAATACGGAAAACGCTATCCTACAACTCGGGTGGCTCCGGACCGCCCCCACCTACAATACCGATTCCTACATCTCCGTTACCTACATCGCCGCTAGCGAAGTATACGGTAACGGCCATCCTGTGGGCGACACCCTTGGCATACCATTCAAGATGAGAATGTTGCAATATGTGTTATGATGGTTCCTGGCGGCGTAGCACTGTACTTCCGAACAGTTTTGCGGAGCTTGCGGGTATGGTCGGGAGAGAAAGCTTGCGGATATGGTCGGATATGGTTGGAATTTGCGGATATGGTCTCAACCGCCACAGGCCACATGTTAGGTCCGTGCCCATGATCCGACAACTCCCCGAACATTTTGCCTTTAGCCTGGAGCAACGACCGAGGGTCAGCCCTGATCCGGCCATCCAACCTTTGCTGCCAGAGTAATGGAAAAGGACGTAAGAAACAGGACCGCTGATCGCAGCGTTCTCCCTCCTGCCCCCAGAGAGCAAAACTGCCGGAACCCAGTCCTTTCACGCTGTTTTGTTGCTGGCGATGACATAGTGCTTGCCCGCTTGCATATTCCTCCTCCTCCTCCTTCTCCTCCTCCTCCTCCTCCCTCCCCCTCCTCCTCTTCCTCCTCCTCCTCCTCGTTTTCTCGCATGCTCCTGTTCTTCCTCATCCGCCTGTTCCCCCCCCTCCCTCCTCCATTCACCTCCTCCCCGTCCTCCTGGTGCTCCTCCCCGGCGCCGCGGGCCGCGCCTCTGCGTCCCGCAGCGCGCGGTCGAAGCTCCGCAGCCGCGCCTCTGGGAGCGGGGGGGCCCCAGCGGCCTCTGTTCGCCGCCTCGGGCCAGCCTCAATGGGAAGCGTGTTCGGAAACAACTCCTGGAAGGCCTTCGTAAGAAAGATTATAAACTATGAAGGCCGACTGGGGACCACCAAACCAAATGAGGCCGCATTGAGCCCGGGATTGAACCGGCTTGAGCCGGAAGCGGGATTAGATGGGATAGTCCCAGGTGTCGGCCATGAATACACTAGCGCCGATGCTGAATCCCACCAGCCCTCTGGGCGTGAATGGTTTGGGACGTTTCCTCTTCCAACCCCCCTTCTTGCTTCCCCTTCGGGAAAAGCTTATCACTATTCCGCATTCAAATACACCTGCTCCCCAACCCGACCAGCGACAAACCGGGGACCATACCGATTCCCCCCCATCATCCCTGTCAACAAAAACACAACAAAATGAACTTTTCACGAAAGTCTAAATCACGCGCAGACACCCCGCGCGATCACTTCGCATTGGTTTTTAGACCAGGGCGGCGGAGGTGCCAGCAGATTGCCCGTTGTGTGCTATGCCAATACATCCCACCATCCCTGGCAAAAACAAATGTAAAATGCACTCTGCTGAACATTGGATCCTGCGCGGACGCCCCGCGATCACTTTGCATTTGCTTTCAGGGACGGCGGGGGTGCCTCCCGTGTGCAATTCCAATCCCCCCTTACTATCCTGGGCACACAAAACATACACATGCACTTTGCACCCACACCTGGATCATTAGCAGACGCCCCGCGACCACTTTGTTGACAGAAGCGGCGGGGGAGGGTCGGCGCAAATGCCTGCTATGTGCAGGCCCACCATCGCTTCCAACAGCACAGATGCACTGCCAGGGACAGCGGGTGGGGCGGCAGACTGCCTGCTGCGCGCAAGCCTACAATCCTTGTCAAAAACAAATGCACAGTGCCTGCGGGCGCACACCCGCGCAACATACACAGTGCTCGCACATCCGCCGTCAGTTTGCACTCGTTTTTGATAAGAACGTTGAGGTGGCCGGAATATTGCCCAATGTGGCGCACCTGGCACGCGGGGCGCACCTCGCAGGCATTGCGCCTCTGGCTGGGGTCTGCATTGATTCCCACTGGATGTCGATAGCGGCCCCTGCATGTGCTGAAACTCGGGTGCCACATACGTGGTGGGAGGGCGGGTGGGAGGTCAGCGACACTGCTTGCGACTTGGGGTGGCTTGGCCCCTACCCCTACCCCCCCCCCTGGGTCTGGAGGCGAGGGGCCGCGAGCGGTCAGGGCGTCCAAGATGGCCTCGGTGAGGCAACAAACAAGATTGGCCCCAAGAGGGCACCCAAGGCTCCCAAGAGTGCTCCACGAGGGTCCCAAGAGGCGACCATGATGACCCAAGAGGCCCCCAAGTGGCCCCCAACAGGCTCCGAAGAGACCAGAGGCCCCCCCGAGGCCTCCAAGACGCTCCAAGAGGCCCCTGGGATCGCCAAGAGGCCCCCAAGACGCCCCAAGAGAACTCCAAAAAGCTCTCAAGGTAGATCCGAAGAGACTCCGATAGGCATCCAAAAGGCCTCTGGCTGCTCTGCTCGCCCTCCTCCTTCTCCTCCCCCCTAATCCTAGTCCTCATCCGCCTATTCCTCCTCCCCCCTCCTCCCGCCTCCCCCTCTCCCGCTTCCACCTCCTCCCACGATTCCTCCTCCATCACCCCCCGAGTATGACGGCTTTGCAAGTCCTTTATCCCACTGCATGCTCCTCCTCATCCATGATCAGGGCAACTCGCATGGACATCGTTTCTGGATGGGCTGGTGGGGTTATGCGAAGTGTCTCGAATTTGGCCTTCCAGGAGATGCAACATACAGAGTTGTGTGGGGTGGTGAAGCAGATCTCGAGGAGGAGGCTCCGATGACGGCGCGAAACGCACGGTCAAAGCTCCGAAAACGCACATCTGCGGGCGGGGCCCGCGTGGGATGCGTTCGACATCCCGGACCAGCCCTCTCGAGGGGCGGGGGGAGACTTCGGTGAGGAGGGTCGCCAGGAAGCACGCGGGTCCTCGAGGTCACGGGCTCTGGCAGCTTTCAATCCTCTTCGAGCCTCCAGGGCCCTCCCCGGGCCCAGGGACCGTCTGAGGACGGTTCAGATCGAAGAACTCGTCCCAGGGAGAAGCTTCTTGAGGAACGCGGCAGATTCGTGTCTTGACGACTTCGGCTCTGGCTTCTGACACTTCGTGGATCGTTCAATCTTCGGCGTGCGTCCGCGGCTTTCCGATATCTACGTAAAGAGCCTGGCAGATCGAGCCAGGTGTTTTAACATAATCCTGAGTGCTCATGAGTCTTCAGCGGGAGGATGGACATGAGGAAGAGGAAAACGCGGGCCTAATGAAAAGCGAGGGGCAATAAGGGAATGTGACAGAGGAAAAGAAAACAAGGGAGAAGGAGAGGGGGAGGACAAGGAGCAGGAGGTGAGGAGGGGGAAAGGAAGGGAAAAGGTAGAAGGAAAGAGAGGAAGGGTGATAACAGATAAGGCGGTAGGAGGGGGAGGCAGGAGGAAGACGATGAGCCATGCGGAAGACAAGCGCTGCCCATACGGAGGAAACGACGAAATAAAATCCGCCGCGGGCGGCGACAAAATCAGGCTCTTCCATTCCGTCCTCGCTCCGAGCCCCCCCCCCAGGTTCCGGCTTCTCGAACGAACACCTGCACGGACAAGTCGGGAAAGCCTGGCCTGGCCGAGGCCGCACTCGGATGCCTCCTGCATGCGCCAAGGCCGAGCCACGGAAGGCGGAGCTTCTCCTCTCCTCAGCGTCCCTCTTCACTGCTGCCTCATGGGGCCTCCCTACCCATGGAGTCCTTGACGGCGCACGACGGGGCAAGCCTGCGTTCTGGCCCGCAGCAGCAACAACTCCTGCACGGTGCCGCTGTGGTCGCCTGGCGAAAACGCGAGGCCATCTCTACTGTCATCTCTCTCTCTCTCTGGCACTCACTGTAGGCGCTGATCGAAGAATTAACCCTGTGCTCCCGATAATCATCCACTGGGGGTAAGAAAATTCGGGGGACTGGCGGGGATAATCAACGATTTTCCCGGCGAAGGTCATGATGATGCAGATGATGATGATGATGATGCTGATGCTGATGATGATGATGATGATGATGATAATGATAATGATGATGATGATGCTGCTGATGATGATGATGATGCTGCTGCTGATGATGATGATGATAATGTAATGATGATGGTGCTGATGCTGATGATGATGGTCCTGGGCGCTCGTGTAGACTGACCGTGTAGATCATACATATACATATATATATGTACACACGCGTGTACACACGATAATTACTGATGTATACATATACGTCTACACACGTGTACAGTCATTGCATGTGCTTCTGCGTACGCATCCGCATATCTACACACGTGCAGTACAACCACGCGCGCGTCGCGCGCTCGGGCTGTCTGCAGGCGCAGGCACGGAACACCGGCGGGACGATGGAGATCACCAGACACCGCAGGAGCAACGAGGGCAGGTGGAGGCAGAGCAACAGCGGGGAGGGAGGGGGAGGAGAGGTGGCGCATGAGAAAGGGCGAAGGATGGAGACTGAGAGGAGCAGAAGGGAGGGGGTGAGAGGCTCCAGAGGGGAGCAAGGAACGGCGAAGGAGCAGGACGATAGACAAGGGCGGCAGCAGGAAGGTGCTGGTGGCTGAAGAGGTTCTCCTCTGCTCCTACTCTTCCTCTCTTCCTCGTCGTATCCTCCTTCTGCTTGACCTGCTCGTTCCGATTCTCTTGCTTGGAGCTCACGTATTTGGGTTGGCTGGGGTCTGTCGAACGCATCTGGGAGCACCCTTTGGGATTCGTGGAGGTCTGGGCGTCTATTGAATCAAGGCCCGCTCCTCATCCCTTACTCCCTCGCTCCGCCTTCGTTTCACCCTCTTGCCAATTACCCTGGCCTCCCGTTCCCTCCTCCAACACGAAGTCATGATGCGGACGAATTCGGAGGAGGAGACATTTTGGAATCTCTGGGAGCTGGCGACTCTGGAGAAATGCATCGGGCGCCGCAGCCGTTTCAGAGGGCTCTGAGAGCGTTCCAGAGCGCACGAAGCAAATTATCCTCTCGCCTCTACGGATGTGAATCTCACCAGGGCTTTCAAACCTCGTCTTCCCCTTGGGGCATGAGGTTTACCAGCGCTCCTCGTCAATAAACATCCCTTCCCCCACTCGACAGCCACCAAACAAGAAACATGCGGGACACCCCACCACCACCCCTGGCGGCATAATCTGGATCGTGAGCGGGTCCTCGCGATTATGTAGCACATCTTTTTGACTAATATGGTGGGGTGTAAGCATATATGTCCGCTGTTCACTCTCCCCCTATCCCTATGAATAGCAAATGCACAAATCACTCGCGGGGTCCCGCTCACTATCCAGATTTCGTCATCACGTGCGCTCCTCAATTCTATTGTCAGAGATAATGGGGGCCAACATGGTTGCTGATAGGCGGACGGTTGAGCGGGGGAGGGGATGTTTGCTTGTCTGCCATGTCAAAACTACTATGAACTCGATGTGGGTACCTTGTTGGGCCCAAGAACGACAAAACTGTGTTTTTACCGGTTCCGTTTTACTATCTATTTTGCCGGTTCCGTCGCCGTTGGTTTTTCCAATTCCGTACGCTTTTTTGCTGGTTCCGGTTCCTGTTCCAATTCCAGAACCGTTTTTTGCTGTCTCCGGATGCCGTTTTTGTTACCAATTCCATTTTCATAGAAAGCATGTGTCGGAAACGGTGAAAGAAACGGCCCTGCCGTTTCCAGGGCCCACTGAAGTGGGCACACACACACGCCATAGGCCATACACCATGACCACCCCGCCGCCGCTTTGCAGTGGATTATGTACTGGTGAGAAGGGGTTCGACATTTTGTCCGCTGCGTGCTGCCACGTGCAAAGGCGTACCTGGCACACTCTGTGCGCGTCGCGCACCTGGCGCACGTGGTGCAGCTACAGCAGGTGACGCCCTTGGCGAGAGTGGAGCACGTGGCGCATCTTGCACACCAGGCGCGCCTGGCATGCTTGGCGCCCTGGCGCACCTGGCACGCGTGGTTCACCACTTTGCGAGCGTCGAAAACCTAGCGTCTGTATTGTGTCTTAACAGATGTCCGTCCGAAGACGACTTCTACCTAGGCTACTTGATGGGGGTGAGCGAGACACCTCCCCCTACCCCCTCCTCTGGGTCGGGACCCCGCGGGGGGGGCGCGACCCCACGATGGTTCGAGATGGCCTCAAACATGCCTCCCGAAGGCTCCATATCCCTCCGGAAGACGGTATACAGTAGTCACGTAGCGTCCCAAGGAGCTTTCCAAGAAACCCAAGTCCTGACACAACCTTAAGAAGACCAAGGGTCTGAACCGGACGTTAGCAAGATCAATCAATATCAAATCAGGAAAATCGGATCAAATCGGAACGGGCGTCGGATCGGTGAGCACCGGCAGGGAATGCAAATCGAATCGGATCGGCTGCGCCAATATGTGAAACAACACCGGGTAAACATCTGACCGCATCGGATCGTCGAATATCGGATCTGGCTGGCCGCAATCGATATCAAGATGGAACGACTGGATCGACATGGACCAGGGGGGTGCAAGGGGGTCAGAGCGTCCAAGATGGCCCGAGATGGTGTACCTCTGCCTGGAAGCTGCCCCTGGCAGGCCCTTCCTCCCCCCCCCCCCAAGGCGGCCCGGGCGGCCGCGGCGCCGTAAGGCGCAGACTCGTGGGCGGCAATCGTGACGGCCCGGGCGGCCGCGGCGGAACTGGGGCGCTGTTTTGCTATTCAGTCCTTGTCTTGCTTGCAATTTCCGTTCCAAGCCATGGTGTGGTGTTGGGTCGTCGCTCTGACTCCACGGCGCCACGCATCTTTTCACCTCTCCCCTCCTCTCCTTTTCGACTCTGCCCTCCGCATCCCATCTCCGCTCCTTGCCTCTGCTCTCCGCATGTCTCTGCTTCGGCACACCCCTCACACGCTGCGTGGCCCCATAGAAAACTTCACTTACGGTATCTGTGGGCCAGGCCGTATGGCGTGCCAGCCCCGAATTGGGCACACCCCTCACGTGTTTGGTGGCCGCATAAGGGGGCTCCACCTGCGGTCTCTATGGGCCCGACCGTATGGCGTACGCGCCCCCACTTCGGCACACCCCTCATACGCTTCGTGTTCCCTTGGGGAGCCCCACCTGCGGTCTCAGTGGGCCCGACCGCATGGCGCACGCGCCCCCAATGCGGTACACCCCTCACACGCTTCGTGGCTCCATAGGGAGCTCCACCTACTGTATTAGTGGGCACGGCCGCATGGCGCACCAGCCTCATCTGATCCTTCCCCTCCCCCTCCTCTCACTCCTCCTTCTGCTGCTCCCCGTCGTCCCCTCCGATTCCTCGTTCCCCTGATCGTGGTGTTCATCCAACTCCTCGGTCTTTCTCACTGCCCCACCGTTATTCTTCTCCTGCCATCCCTCTCCGACAACCCCCCCCTCATCATGCCCGTGCTTCTGTCCCCCTTCGACTTCCGAGATGTGCTGGCCCCACTGTGGGCAACTGATGTCAACGAACTGTACAAGACTGAACTAATCAAGCATACTCAGTGGGTAAGGATCACCCGCCACCGTGCCTTCAACACGTAAAACAACGCCACAATGATCATGCAACTCTCAGAGCTCGATAAAGGATCGATAGCCGCCAGGACGGTGATCCCACCCAAAAGGACCCGAAGGACCCCGGGGTTCCCTGAGAAGCGCACAAGGGGGTCCAAGAGCGCTCCGAAATGGCCCCAGAGGGCCCAAGACTGCCCACGATGCCCTCCAGGCAGCCCAAGAAGCTTTCAAGGTACGAGGAGCCCCAAGAGGGCTCCAAGAGGCTCCCAAAGAGAGCCCCGAAGTCCAAAATTGTCCGTCTCCCTCAAGTTTGTCAATAAGTCTAACAATCTCGCCTTCTCGGGCTCCCGACGCTCCGAAACGGCCCAAGATGCCTCCAAGATCGCCCCCCCAAGACTGGCCAAGATGACCCTCAGACGGCCCAGGAGGGGCTGAAGACGGCACAAGAGCGGGTCTCAAGAGGGGAACCTCAACACACACAGGCACACACACAGACACACAGACACACAGACACACACACACACACACACAGCACACACACACAGACACACAGACAGACACACAGACACAGACACAGACACAGACACAGACACAGACACAGACACAGACACAGACACAGACACAGACACACACAAACACACCACACCACACACATATAACACATACAGCACACACACACACACACACACGCACGCACAAGACGGCCTCCGAAGGCCAAGACGTTCCTCGGAGGCCCCTAGGGGTCCTCGAGTGCCCCCCCCGAGAGGCTCCAAGAGGCCCCCAGAGGCCTCTGAGAGAGCTCCCATAATGCCCCCAGGAGGCCCCGAGAGGGCCGCAAGAGGCCTTCTCATCTTCCTCCTCCAGCTCCTTTTCCTCCCCCTGGTGTCCCTTTTCCTTCCTCTCCTCCCCCTTTCTCTTCCTCTGCCAAGTGTTCCCGCAAAGAGGTTCCCTAACGGCTGGAGGAACGCATGGTCCAATAGCTCGGCTAGACTTCGGCACAACGTTCGGCCGCATGGGCGTTTCCAAAAGCAGGGAGCGGCGGTGGTTCGCCGTAGGCGTCTTCGACAAATCTTCCAGTCTACCAGCTCAGCCGCAACTGCCAACGGCTCATCGGGCGAACAGTAGAAAAGGTGGCGCAGCGCCGGAGACGACGACGAGCAAATATCTGCAAGGGAGGGGGGGAATGACGCAACGAGGAAGGGAGGGGCGACGCCCGCCAAGGAAGACGTGCGAGAGGGAGGGGTGCGCCCGCTCGCCAGGGAGGACGGAGACGACCTAGCAAATTTCCGCAAGAAGGGGGGGGGACGACGACGCAACGAGGAAGGAGGCGATGCCAACGACGAGCACCTATCCGAAAGAAAAGGGAGGGAGAGGGAGGGCAGGGGTGCGCCGCATTGCCGGGACCGCGCCGCCGACAACGACGAAAAATGTTCCGCAAGGGGGGGTTGCGCGGCGCAACGCCGGAGACGACGACGCAACGAGGATACGACGACGAACATCCTTCTGTGGAATAATGGTAAGTCTTTGACCGTCCAGGGCGGTATCCCCCGCCACAAGGGGGAGGGGCAAGAGGGGGTGGGAGCGACTGCGACACGCAAGAGTGATGTGTGATAATGGGTGTTGATTTTAGCGGGCCAGGGGGGCCAAACCCAAGCATGCAAGCCGCTGATGCCGCATCCCATTCAAACATCGATGGACCCTTTTGGAGCCGCGCAACAGGTCACCCTTACTCACAACGAGCTGGTTGCAAGCGAGATGCGACGCACGCGGCACGTCTGGAACATCCTGGACGGCGCTGCGTTTGGCGATGTCCAATGAGCTTCGATCACGAACCACCGAGCTCCTCTGGATATGATGCAATCCTGCTTCGGCTCAGTTTCTTTTCCCTCCTCCTCCTGCTCGACTCTACTCTCCTCCTCCTCCCCCATGAAAGCTGAGAGTTGCTACCAAGGGCCCCAGAGAAACAAACTGCAGAACACCAAGCCCCTGCCAGCTGAAGAGCGCTCGCCACTTCGACGTCCCATCTATCTGTGCTCTGACACACCTGCCACTGCCGCCGTCAGCTGTACATTGGCGGCGAGCCAGCGGAATCTGGCGAGGCTCAGAAGGCATGCCTCGACATGGCCGACTCTTTTGAAAACCTCCTTTTCACATGTGCGCCTCCAAAACCTCCGAAATGATGACTTTTCAATACGCGCGTGGAAGGCAAAACCGTCTGACCCATCTTTGGCATGGATTCCGCGCCGAGGGGGTCGTTCCGTGTGGGCCCCCAGGCATGGGAAGGACCTCTACGGGCCAGAGACAACCAATAAAACTGCCGCCCTGGTGTGTGTTCGGGAAGACGGACACATGCCCCCTCTCCTCGCAAAAGGCTCGCCGTCACACGGCCGACTCCGGAATTCGATTTCGGACCCAACAATGTAAACGTCCCGCCTGCATTCCCGTCACCTTCTGCTGGCAAAGTCGCCGACGCTCTACGTCCGCTGGGCGTCCGCTGGCCTCGCAGGTCCCAGCCCCAAGGTGGCCCAAGAAACTCCCACGACAGCCCCAAGACGGCAGAAAACAGCCCCTAAGACCGCCCAAGAGACCCCCAGGACGGTTTTTGGAGGCCCCGCTCCAAGACGGCCCAGAGAGGCCCCCAACACGGCCTCTGAAGGCGCCAGATAGCCCAAAAGCGCCCGAAGACGGACGGCCTAAGACGCCCCCAAGACACTGCCCCACCAGACCAAAACAAGCCTCCAAGGAACCCAAATATGTCACGAAGCCTCCGGAAGGCTCCCAGACGAGCCCAAACGCAAATACTACTCTACGCATTCCGGCTGTGCACCCCGCGAAGCGAGAGGAACCCGCGGATCTGGTCAAAAGCGTAGCATGAGACCAACGCCGCCTGATTGGGAGACGGAGCGCGCCGACTCTGTACGGAAACGGGATCCGCTGTTCATCCATGCGCCGCAATCCATCTTTTTCGTTTCCTCGAGATGAGCGGCCGAGGCAGAAAACATCTCCGCCCTGCGCTCCTGGACGCACTGGAGGAGCCGTACGTCGCGGCGACGCCCACCTCGCGAGTCGGGTGCTCCACGGCCATCCCTGTTAAGGTTTCGCCCACTGCCTCCTCGGCTCGCCGTCATCCTCCCCCCATTCCTTCTCTGCTGCTGGGACGGTTCTCGTGAGATAACAGAGGTTCAGAAGTTGGTGTGGGTATGCTCGTTTCTGGGTCCCCTCGGGTCCAGCTTGGGGTTGGAAGGTTCGGCCGTATCCGACAGCACTCCCATGCTAATGTGCGTTGTCGTGTCCGCCTGAAGCGTCGTCTTGCCCAATCCCCATTCCTTCTCTGTCCCCATCCCTAGTCTAACTAGACGAGAGATACTATCCAGGGCCCCGCAAACGAGAGCTTTGATGCAACACAAACGACATGGAAATCTGGCACGCCCAAGGGAATCTGCAGCCGCGGGTCAAAACATTCTCCCTTCTTCGTTCTCTCCCGCTGGCTTGCAGTGTCACGCAGTGTCCTGGCTTGCAGTGCCCTGGCTTGCAGTGCCCTGGCTTCAGGAACGCAATGGCAAACTGCATGAACGCATCAAATATGGGAGGTCCGCGCGGAGAGCGCCCAGGTCGGCGCTGGGTCCCCCTCCACCGTCCGCGCCCTGGGGTTGCCGCCAGGGGCGCTGCCAAGGAAGCGGGGTTCAACGCTGACCCGTGAAATCCGCGCCAACCTCTGGGAATTCATGCTTGTGTCGTGCTTCGTTCCGTGATGTTCCTCCTCCTGGGTGTAATACGACGATTAAGAGGAACAGGGAAAGATAGAACACGTGGTCTTTTCCCTCCGGGCGCAAATCTGGGCAGGACGACTAAAATATCGATTCGACATAATTTCTCTCGTCCTGTGACTCCTCTGGGCTCCGTCATCCGGACGGGCGCGCGTGCACGGACACGTGCACACACGCACGCGCGAACGAGCACGCTCGCACGCGCACGCGCACACGAACGCACCACGTACATCCACTGGCCTGCACGCACCCACACATTTCTCTACACCGCGGCACGTTGACCCAACTCAGCGAGGGCGTTAGCGGGTCACGCTAAGGTGAATACCAGCGAGCGTGGGTCGGTGGGGTGGCAACCAAAAGAGGGCTGCGCGGGCAGAAGAGGGCTGCGTGCACGAGTGCCGAGCACATGCAACGACCCCAGGGGGCTCGCTCCGGGGCAGCACGGGCGGCGGTGGCGGGTGCGATGCGGCCGGGCGCCAGCACCCAGGTGGACGGCCTGGGACGCCCGGGGGGCGAGAGGCGACGCCCGAGATTGGGTGCGAACGCGAGACCGGGAGACGAGGAGAGAGGAGCGACGGCAACGACCCGACGACCGACAGGGAAGGGCGACACCCCGAGCGACAACCCAGGGTGCGAGCAAAGATAAGGAGCAAAGGAGCGACGCATGACGGCGAGAGGGGAGAGGGAAGACGACTCACCAGGCGGCGCGAAAACCACTGATTTACCGGAAAGCCACTACGGACTGTGCCAAACATGGTCCGCGATTCCACACATGGCCGCACGGAACTGGGATCTGTGCGTGGGAGCCACACTGAAACCCAACTCCGCACTGCGAATAACAATAAACAACGGCAATCCAGACGCCCCCCCCCCCTCTACCCACCCACTCACGCACACACAAACACCCACACACACACACACACACACACGTACACACGTCCAAACGCACACCCTCATACGCGGCGCTAAGACACATGTGGTAGGGCGTGTAAGCACTTGGCCCCGTCTGAGAAAGATGCGTGGGCTCAATGCTAGCATTCCCGCCCCCCGTCGAGGCCATTGCCCCTTGCCCCCCTCCTGTTGGTATATCTATAGATATCATCACATGGCAATATGATTAAGCTTTAGGCGGGGCGTCGTTCAACATTCCACTGCGTGCGCTACAGCACCCAATTTTCTACGAGGGACAGCGCTCTAGCAACCCAAGGCGTACGTTCCAACACTGAACTTCTACCGCACGCGAGCGCTCCGGCAGCCTACGGCGTGCGCCCCAACGCTGCATTTCTACCGAACGTTGGCATTCCAGCCGCCCGCGGTTTGCGCCCCATGCCTGCGTATTCAGATAGCGCGAACGTTCCAGCAGCCCGCGGCGCGCGCTCCGGCAAGCTTTGCACTTCCCGAACGCACGCATTCCAGCAGCCCGCAGCGCGCGCTCCATCACTACACGTTTATAAAGAGGAAGCGTTCCAGAATCCCGCGGCGTGCGATGCAACCTTGCATGTTTATCGAACGCGGACGTTCGAAACCGGGCCTCAAATAACGCACGCGAACCCATGGAATGACAAATCCTACTAGCATCAAGTTTCAGTGACGGTACTTCGCGCCGAATGCCGCGAGATACGGGGCCATCTTCGTGTCTTCGCGCTCTCGCGTGGCCTCCAAGGAGGAGGGCAGCCCAGACCGCGACGCGTGATGCGCGACGGTCCTCGCGCCCCTACGGACGACCTTGTTGAACGTCTTTACGTCGCAACGCAGCAGGGGCTCGGCTATAGCTCCAGTGAGCCAGGCTCTGGTCCGGCGGCAAGAGGGGGGAACCGAGGCGGAGCGCGGCCGCGGAGGGCGGAGCAGAAAGGAGGGCACTCACAGCACGAAGAACTTCGGCTGGAGTGGCCGGGCGGCCAGCCTGTGCCAGCGTGACATGGCAGCGGACGCGGGGTGGCATCGCGGCATCGCGGCCACACCCAGGAGCTGAGGCGCAGGCTGCAGTATAGAAAAGAGGACAAAGAACGACCTTATTGTCCCAGGACAACTATTCATCCAAAATCCGCCGACCCTGTCGGCGTGTGCGAGGGGTTTGGCTGTTCGAGTCGTCGTCTCCGTCGGTCGTCGCCTCCGTCGTCCCCTTTCCCTGCAGCTTCCTTCTCAAGCTCGTGAGCGAGAGAAAAATCGAGCAGTGTTGTAATCGAGTCGAAGGGAAGCCCCTTCCCTTTGATCCCTTCCCCAGGGGGGGGGGGTCCCGGGGGGGGTCCCGGGTGGGGGTGGGGGGGCAGATTTGTTTTCCCTCGGGCGGCCTAGAAACCTCGAAAACACTCCAAATGAGGTCCGAACGCCCCAGATGGCCCCCGAGACGGCCCACGAGGGCCCCGAGTCGCCCAAAGATCGGCCGAAAACGCCCAAGATAGCCCCAAGACCGTCCAAGAAGCCTCCGAGACGTCCCAGGCTCCCTCCAAGAGACCTCCAGGAAGCCCCAAGAGGCCCCCACGGGGCTTCCAAGCGGCCCCTAAGAGCTTCCCAAGAGGCCCACAAACTACCCCCAAGAGGCCCCCAAGAGCGCACGTCGTCGTCGTCGTCGTCGTCGTCGTCGCCATTCAGGGTCGGCGGCACCGGCCGTAAGGCCTTCGCAATCATTTGTTGGACGGTTCTGGGGGCGGGACAGGGCGGCCCCCCATTCCCCTCAAGACCCCCATGTCCTTGATGGTGGGGACAAATGATGGCAAGGACGCCGGGTAGGCTGACAACAAAAAAATGATTGCCGCGGTCATCACGTCGCGTCAGATCAGCAGAGGCCAGCACCGCATTGCCACGAGTGGGGGGGGGGGGGGCACGACCGACTGCGAGGATCAGCGACCTCCACGCCTCACTACCCACAGAGCTAGGGGAACAATAAGATACGGCAAGCGTCGATTTCTGATACCGCGTGGATCTTTCAAACTTGAGCGATCGCGGCGTCCCAACAATGCAGACCATGCGACATCAACGGATTCTGGACCACTGGTGGCCTTCAACCTCCAACGCCCGCGTTTGGGTCGCCGCCGCGTCGAGCGTCGACACGACGCGAATCTGCCGTACTACTGCCAGATACGACTATTCTCTCTGACCTTGCGCCAAGAGGGGGATCTAGACTTACCAAAACGACAGAAGAAGCAGAGCGCCGAACAGGGATCACTCTCACTCCCTCTTTCCATTTTGGACGGTTCGCGATCCCGCCTGTCTCAATCACTACGCTCGAAGACCTGCAGCTGCACCCGCAACGAGCCCGCATACGATTCAGACTCATGCGTATGACGCCAGTGGCAAGCATGCTGATATACATTTGAGGCGCGCTGCTCCGACGGCTCTGCACTCGTCGGTTGCGCAGGACAGCGCGAGCTCATTGACCCGCAATATGAGGCAACAACTCCCCCTGGCCAACATGCCCAACCACATGTTTCAACGTGTGCGGATGCAATTCGGAGAAGTGACCTGGCAAGCCCTGACCCCCTTGGTGCAGATGTCCAACGCCTCCGCGCATCAAGGGCACTGGCATAAGAGAAACAAGCATGCAGCAACAGGCGACAAAGTTGTATGCAGACGGGCTTAGACAGGAAGGGGGGATCAGTCTGCAAGCGATGTTGCCTTGGCACATTGCGATTTCAAGATGCAGGATCTGGTTTCGCACTGAAATGCACTGAGCCGAACTACTGATGAACGCCAAGCCTGCCAATGCTCGATACGCAATCATAGGACATGGCTCTTGTGTTACTACATCATCATCCGATTATCTGAAAGAGCTGGTGGGCCCCAAGTGAAGAAAAGGATATGTAATAGCGTCAAGCGTGTGTCTAAAAACACTCGTCAGAGCCCAGACGAGCCCTCTGCTCGTCTATCTGATCCCTTTCTTCACCTTTGCTCTGCCCCTCTCTCTCGTGTAATGCCGCCAGCTTGGCCCAAGCCGGCTTGAGACAACTGATTTCCGGTTGCAGGACCGGTGCTGAAAAGGGAGCGTACCTCGAGCCCTGCCGTGCTCCGCCGACAGCCCCCGCTGCAGGGCCGGGAGGTACGCCACTGGAGGCTACCCAGTTCCGCAGTGGTAGCGGAGCCCGCCGCCGCGCGGGCGAGTAATATCGGCCGCCGAGGGCGAGAAGATCTACGGGGTGCTGGATTAAGGCGGGAGCTGGACGACGGCTAAAGCGAGGACGTGATCACGGACTACTACGACGTGGGCGCGATGGAGCATGGGCGTGCGACATCGACGCAGAGGAGACCGCCAGCTATGGGCGGAGGAGTGCTCAACCCAGATGCGCTACCTCGACGTGACGGCGGTGGCGGCGCAGGTGCTCGAGGCGATTGGTGGCGTCGCTCATCGGTCACCTCGTGGACGACGGCGCCGCAGTGGACGAGCCGCGACCTTGAGGGCATCCCTTACTGGGACGGCTCGGCTGGAAGGTGGCGGCGCTACAAGAAGGATGTGGCTCTGTTGATAGAGGCATCAACCTGGATGTGAGCTGGTACTGGGCGGCCAGGATGGTGCGGCGCCTGACGGGGCTGGCGAAGACGCTGGCGGAGTCCATCCCGATGGCGGAGCTGCGCGCGAAGCCGTGGACGTGGGTGCCGGACGTCGAGCAGCCCGAGGGCGACGCGGAGGCCGACGGAGACGAGCAGGATGAGGAGCGCGGCCACTGGGAGGAGCCTGACCCCATGGCGGGCATCAAAAGGCTGATGGGGGGGGTTGACGAACCTACGCGTCGTGGGCAGGTGATGACATATCTCTAGAAGCAGCTGCATCGACGTGCCGGCAAGGTTTTGAACGCGTGGATGATCAAGTTCGGCGAGGCTCCTGGCCAGCTGGACGAGGAGGACGTGGCGCTGACTGCTCGGACGGCAGGCTGGTGGCTGATCGAGAGGACGGGCCTGAGCGACGTGCAGAAGAGCATGCTGATGACTTCGACCAGCGGCAGCATGGAGATTCGTGGGGTGGTGCCGGTTATGCTGAGGGTCTTCCCCACTCCGCAAATGACGGAGCGGCACCACAACCAGTTCGAACGACGAAAGGCTATCACCTTCAACAGGCCCGGCACATAGCTGCTCAAGAGGAAGGTGATTCGTAAGTTCAAGGAGGCCAACGTGCACGAGGACCTGGACGGGCTCAGCCAGCTCGATGAGGGCGGGTTCGAGGCGCTGAACGCGGAGCTCGGCAGCTTCGACGGCGACGCGGACAACGAGACGACGGAAGAGGCCCTGACGACGGAGCAGGACCTGGACATAGAGGGTATCCTCGCCGCGGAACTGGAGGCGCACTCGACGGTGCTCGAGGAGGCCGACGACCCCGAGCTGGCGCAGGAGCTCGGGAACCTCGAGATCGGCGTCGAGTCGATGATGGAGGGCCTCATCATCGTGCGTGAAAGTAAGAAGCGTGTGAAGGAATTGCGGAAAGACCGCAAGTTCGGCAAGGGCGGCGGCAAGGGTTCGAGTTCGAGCTCGAGCAGTGGCAAAAAGTTCATGAGCAACTCCAAGAAGGACAACCAACCAAATCAGCTAACCACGGATTGCCACGCCTGCGGCCAGACCGGTCATGAGGCTGGCGACTCCTGTTGCCCGAAGCTGAAGGAGTGGAAGGCTGAGCAGGCGAAGAAGAAGCTGCAGCAGCGAGTCAAGCAGCGCGACACGTTGGTGGTCGACCTCCTGGACACGGAAGAGAGCCAAGAGGTTCTGGAGGCGAACGTCCTTGAGGTGTTCGAGGCGCTGATGGCCACCAGTGTGGAAGCGACGAACGGCACGGGCGATACAGTGGATCCGCCAACTAGTGGCGAGCTACAGGTGCAGGAGGACCTCCTGCCCTCTGTCACAAGGGCGGACAGCGACGACGGCACGTTGGACTCTTCCTGCTACAGCACGGCTCGGGTGACGCCTCCGCCAAGATCGAGAACCAGTGCCAGGAGCTGGGCATCGACAGAAACATCAAGAAAGAGTCCCAGGTTTGGGAACGGTCAGAATCAGGTCTCCCCGGAGCACTGGACCGTGCCGGCGACGGTGTTCGACGTGGACACCTACCTGACGCTCTCCGTCATCAAGGACCCAACGCTGCAGCTGATTATAGGCAAGGACGCGCTCAAGGGCATGGCGCGGATATCAATTTCGCGGAGGACACGTTCAAGTCGGACAAGCTTGGGGTCACGCCCAAACGCTAGAATGAGACAGACAGAGGCCACTACGCGATGCCGATGTTTCCACGAAGCGGCTGGGGACCCCCCACAGGATGCCCGTCGACCGCGGCTGACGCGGTGATCAGGGTGCGGTCGAAGGTCAAGGAAACACTGATGAAGGTGCGCCCGCGGCTTGTTGCAAGCGAGGCTGACCGGCGAGTTGGGGAGAAGGCCGCGCCCGAGGAGCAAGAAGGCGATTGGGACATGCCCGACCAAATAGAGGTCTCCCACCTGCATGTGGGAGGGCGCGCCAGGACGACAACGCTGGGGCACTGAAGCCTTCGAATCGCGACGGCCCGAACTGGAAGCTGGCGAAGGCCCGCGATACGTTTTGTGCCGACATGGGGGACGTCATCGAGGAGATGCGCTGGATCGATGGCCTACCGAACGAGCTGTTCGAGCCGCTGGACCCTCCGAGGAACACCGTGACGAGGCTCCAATGGGAGTCCGAAGCCCCGAAGGTGAGGCCGACCCAGGCGCCTGATTCGGAAAGTTGGGCGCTGCTGTGTGTCCGCGACCAGCTACTGCGGGCCCCAGGGACGCGCTGGAGGACATGGCGGAAGTGCTGGAGATCTCGCAGGCCCGGCATCTGAGCATAAGGTTGCGGACCGACCGGCTGATGGAGGCGGGCGCAAAGGCGAGGAGAAGCACCCCACAGGAGGAAGGCGAGGCGTTCGTGAGCGTCGGGGTCCCGCCGCCACCTCGCGCGGCTGAAGGATCAGGCAGCGCTGCGCCAAGTTCGAGGGCGTCGAGTGATTCGGCGAGGAGGCGCGCGCGGGCGCTGCCGCTGATCGGGATCAGGAACAAGCAGGAGTTCGTGGACGACGTTCGGGACCACGAGATGCCGAAGAGCAGCGACCCGGAGCTGACGGCGATGCCAGCGCTGAAGAACGCGGCGCGCGCGCGCGACGAGGTGCCGCTCGTTCGGGGTCGGTCGATCGACGGCGAGAGGATCAGCGCCGAATAGCGCGGGACCTAAGACCCCCGCCTTTTGACCGTCGGCCACGACCTGCTGCTCGAGGTCCGCCGGCGCTCTCGAAGTGGTCGCTTGGAGCCGCCAGGTCGACCGGGTGAACTTCGCGGACCAGGTCGACCTGGCCCCGACGGTGGAGAAGATAAAGAAAGGCACCACAACGTATATGAAAGACCAGCTGCGCCCCTTACAGCGCAACCTGGTCACGGTCAACATCCAGCTCGAGGTCAACTTGACGGAGACCGGGTGGCGCCGAGCTTCCGGGGGGCCCTCGCGGCGGCCTGCCCAGCGTTCTCGGGCGGCCGCTTGAAAGCGTCGCGGTGCTCGACGGCCGCGCCCGCCCCCTGCTTGGACACCTTGAGGTGGGTGTGGCGCGCGGGTGCCTCGGACTGCACCGCGATCCAAAGGTGCACTGCCTTCTCGACTCCCTCGGCCCAGCGCTTCTGCTCCTCGGGCTGCTGGGCGGCGGGGTCGCCCTCGCCCTGGCCCTCTCGAGCCCCGGCGACGGCCGCCGTGGGCTCGACCGCCAGAATTTTCTCGGGGGCGCCCGCGCGTTCCTCGATCTCGCCGAACAGCGCGCGCGACGCCCGGCTCGAGGGCGTCGCCCTCTTTGATCTGCTCGCCGCCCATGATCGCGCGGTGCTTGGCGAGCTCGGTGCCCCGCTAGAGGCCTCCTAGATGGGGCCCCAGTAGACGCGGTCGAATGGTCGCGCGGCATCGACGACGCATCGGCCACGCATCGGCCACGCATCGGCGACGCGCCGGCCACGCGTCGGCCACGCGCGGGCAACGTCGGCGACGCGTCGGCAACGTCGGCGCGGAGAAAGACAAGCTCCACATCGAGCCGCGTCGGCGATGCGTCGGTGACGCGGCGCGATCCCTCGACCCCATCTAGTCGGATCCCATTTCGGGGGCCCACGTCTGTAGTGGCCCCAGTCAGGTTTGGCCGGCTCCAGGAACATGTGGCCCTGCTCGACCGTGACTTGCGAAGCTCGAAGATTCCTTGGGGCCCTGGAGACCCCTCGGGGGATCCGTGAGTTTCCATCGGAAATGAATAAGATTCCTTAGAGCGACCATCGGACTGAAATCCATGGTGAGCTCTGAGGGAATCCATGGGGTTTCTTGGGGCATCCTGAGGAAGCCCTTCGGTCATCCATAATATTCATTCGGAAATCCATGATTCCTCTGGGGGCCCAGAAGATTTCTCACGGAAATCGATTCGAAATTTGGGGCATCCATGCGGCTCCTTCGGACAATCCAAAGGGCCCCCGCAGGACACGCATAGGGTGCCGTTGGGCAGCACGCGGGGCCCCTTAGGACGTCGGTGAGATTTCGGAGGAATTCCG